AAGTGCGAAAATTTTTAAATTTGTATTACGTACAATTTCGTATATATAACGAAACAATTTCGTGATGCGAAACCATGGAACATTTCGTACAATGTAAGAAATTTTTCATATATATTAGCCATATATTATTTTCAGTGTATTGTGTTTTAAAAATCGTTTTGATTGTCGTGACAAATGTTAAATTGTTGCCGCAGTTTTGTTTTTAATTTTCTATTGAATTCAACATTCAATTAAGTCAGCAGTTGATACTGCATCAAGTCAATTGAAATACACTTGATACTGATTTAACAGCTAAAATAATTTAATCAAGTGTTTCTATATTTACCATTTCCACAGTACTTTAACGAATGCAATATATATATCAAATGAAAGCTAATGTTCTTTAACCATTTTCCCGTAAAAACTGTGATATTTCAATATTTTAATCCGTATAAAACGGTTACTAACTAAGTAGTATCAATTTTATGACTTATCAGAATATATTTATAATATAAAGTCTGGTCTTAATCTCGTATCTCACCTAATTGGTAAATATTTGTCAATAATCAAATAACGATTTTTATTTAGAAGATAACAAAGATCATTACATCTTATATTTGTGGAAAAGTGTACAACTAGAAATTAAAGTTTTTTAAGAAGTCCTTTAATGTCAAACTCTTCGAGCTAACATATTAGCTTTACACGGTCTCTGATTAACCGGTTCAGGATTGTCAAGCGTCAATGTCTGTCAACGAGATGGCGAGATAATCGACAGTAGCATTCGTTTGGGAGAAAGATCATGATTATATTTTTGAAAGCTATATTGCCTCTAAATTAGTGAAATACCATCTTGAACGATTCTGATATTAGTATACCTTTCTTCTGTAGTTGATTTATCTTCTTGTAAATTTCATACTTTGAGGAAGAACTTTAACTTAATACAGGACATATGACTCAACCTGTATGATCGTATAGACTTTGGGCTCGATACGTACGTTAAATCGCTTGCGAATAATAACGCTGCATTCGAAAGATCTTGAACGTTTTTGCAAATAACAGGGCATTCCTTATTATGAGCTTTATTTAAGCCGCCTGAACTAGGAAGAGATGAAATCTTATCTTCTGCTCTGATGACCTAGCGATACTGAACTTTGCGCTACTAATCTCGTTCATAAGCTTATCAGAATCCAGTTTAATTCAAATTGTATTGTGTTCCGTACCATATTCAAACTAGTTCAGGAATGCCAACTGTTTCTCTATGAATGTCTCTCAATGGCGAGATAATCGCTCTTCAATTTCTGATATTTTAAAGTTCTAATATTTTTTTGTAAAGTTCACCTTTCTTCATGTAAAAATTATATTTTGAACGTGAACTATAACTTGCTTCAGGGCATAAGAGCCTTTCTCTACGGTTTTTAAAACATTTGGATCGATGCGTACATCAATTCTCTTAAAAACTAAGGGTTCATATACGCTTCGTTATACATATATTATAAAGAATTCAGCTACCACATAGAAAGAAATCTGTTACTCATCTTCTGATCTTATAAACTTTCAATGATCGGTTTAATATAAAACATATTTCAGTACTACTTCTTAAATAAAACTATGTAATGAAAAGGGTTCTGGAAACTGAAGGAATCTCTTGAGACTTGAGAAAGCTACTATTACATTACAATTTCTATATTCGTATCCAGAGCACGATAACTCTTTAGAAATTTTAACCTCCGATAATATAGGAAGCCTATTAAAGAGAAAAGAGAATCCTATTGAAGAGGAAAAAAACTACATAGTTCAAAACATTCATAAAAAGATTTTAAATAGAAAAATTACCCCGTGATCATGTAAATTGAAATTCTCACATATTTATCAGTGATCATTGATGTTTTTGAAAAAAAAAGCACTGAAACTCTTAAGTATAGATCACTGATCTCTTTATTCATCTCTTGATGAAAAAAGTTCATCATTACTATTTCTGTATTCGTATCCGGAACACAAATACTCTTTAGAAATTGGCATCTCCGATAATATAGGAAGTATTTTAATATTAGATCCCATCACACTAAGTAAAATAATAATCTTCTCTACATACGAGTTCATCAAGAACCGCCCATTAGATCCTCTGAAAATCAGCTATTTGTCCATAATATTTTGATGCCTTATTAAGGATAACGCAGGAATCGGAAAAATTCTAAATAATATTTCATATTTCTTCTTCTTGTGCGTTTCTTAAAGTCCGCTATTGTGAGTGCAAGCCACCATTCTCACCGTATTTAAAAAAAAGCTTCAGAATGACGATTTGTTTACCTAGTACAGTCTCTTACCCTATAAAATTCCCTTAGATTGGTTACGATCAAACTATTTGATCGTTTCAAGCGTATACCCTAAGTTACCTGTGTTTACTTCGAATTTCGCCGCTTTATACTACGATTGATTTCAGAGACTTTGATATCGATGATTCTGGATTTAAGAAAGGAGGAGACTTTCTCTTAGTATGCAAATCGGTTTTCAACTATGTCAGGGTTTCAAGCGCATACCTTGAGTCATATAGTAGGGATATAGGCGAAACTGAAGGGGTTGTCAAACAAAATTTGTTATTCTCTTCACACAGACGAGTTCTGAGAGAATAAAACACACTTGAGAGAACTAAACTCACTCACAAAACTTCAAATTTTTTTCGCGAAATTGCGCGGATATTAGCACTTAATAGTTTTTCTTATCACTTAAACTTAATATTTATTATTTTTTCCCACACTTTTATTGTATTTAAAACCCCGAAAATAATTTATATTTTACAAACGAAAAAATAATAGCTTTGTTCCAGAACTTTTCTGGCTAAAGAGAATTAATGAATTTTCTCTTCGTACTTGTAAAAAGTACGGGAACAGAAAAAACAAAATTTCTCTTTCAATAAATTTGTATTGAAGTTTATTCATATAAATTTCTATTGAAATTAAAATAAAATTGAAAAACTACAATCACACATACTTATTTATGAAAATAAATCAAAAATATCAAACATTTTTTGTTTTCAATGTATTTTTTTAAACAAATAATTTATTTGACATTTTTTTTCTATTTGCCAGGAAAAAATTTTCTGGCTAAAACCTGCAAGTTCTGGCAAAGAGAAAATAATTTTAATTGCTCAAATTTGTTCTCTTTTACAATTTCTGGTAAAAACCTGCAAACTTGACAAGTAAAGGAACAAAGCTAATATTTTTTATTCTTTGACATTTCTTTTTAATTAAAACTCAAAAAAGAAAAGTTGTAAATTTTCGTATTGAAAATGAAAAAAGTATTTCACATACTTTTTTTCTTTTTCCATTAGTACAGAAAAAAATAACAAAAAGACGTGTTTATAATATGTTTTAAGATGAAATATCTTCTGAAAAAAATTAATTAACTATTATTTTCATTCACTAGTATATAAAATCCCAGTAATAACATGCAAAAAATAACGTATCAGAAATACATTTATTATTTAGTACCTTTTGAACAACTGTGTTTATTTTTGTGCTTCTACTAATACATTCTCACCAGTTAGGTTTTTGACAGGGGACTTAGGTCTTTGACAATCACTTTCGTCTATATCAGTGTTGCTCAAACACATACTACCATAGACTACCATAGTTTTATTTGTGTTGGTAAAGCAGCAGAGAACAGAATTCAATTCAAAATAAAAGTATACTAATAAAATTACTATAAACTATAAAGCATATGCTAACTGTCAAATATTTATTATGGATTTTGACAGCCAGCGTATATCAAAGTCTATATATAAAAAACTATCAACTGTTCTCTCATGTTCTCCTACATTAATTCGGCTTTCTCAAAATTTTGTTGTTGTATTTCTGTGTGTATTTTAAAAACGTCGCGTACAGACCTTGCTTCGACAAGTGCTGATCAGCAACTGATTTGATTTTGTTTTTCAAGTTGAGAGCAAACCAACTGATATTGCTCATTATAAAAAGAAGAAGAATTAAACCTATAGTGTATGTGTATCAACTTAGCGTCAGCAGAATTTTCTTACCCTATCACGCGTGCTATGTAATGGCAATCTTGCGCTCCTCTGGTCTATATGCTACTATATGCCTTGAGTCATCTGCCTTTTTATACTAGTCTCGATTTCAAAAAACTTTAAGAAAATAGAGAGTCTTCGAGTAAGTGTTTGTTATCAGTGCTTTACTGACATATGCATATCGGTTTTAGTTGTATTCACATTTTTAGGGTCACATCATCAACCTCTCACCAACTAAACCTTCGAGTGTGAACTAAAACTTATATGGTGAACCAATGGGCTGCACAAAAGATCCACACATAGGTCGCAGTGCTTTATGCCCCTTCAATCTAATCTTGTTGTATTCATATGTTTACTAGTATTGAATACGATCAAACTGTATGATCGTTTGAAGCGCTTACCCTGTGTCACCTTTTATATTTGCTTCTTTCTAGTATGATCAATTTCAAAGACTGATCCTCGATTTATGAAAAGAATCGATCACCAGCATAGATCGGTTTTATTCGTATTCACATGTTTACTAGTGTTGAATACGATCAAACTGTATGATCTTTTCATGGCCATAACCTGAGTCATCTGCGTCTCCTTTTATAGTTATCTCTTTCTACTACGATCGATTTCAAAGATTTTGACATCACTGATCCCCGATTTAATAAATGAGAGAGTATTTGATTGGTTTTATTCGAGAATTTTAATATTGCAAGTCACCTAGATTGTGTTCGACATAAATCGCTTTTAGTCGTGCTGACATACATAGATCAATTTTATAATCCAAACACATCCCCTATCACTCGTTAGACGAGGTTTTGGTGTATTAATAACCAGCCAACTGTATGACATACTTTTTCACCCAAAAACATACAAAAAAAAAGTTTTAAGTTTTGCAGCTTAAAAATAGAACACAAACTACAAATCATTAATAAATATTTTATGTTTTAACAACAATCAATTTTTTTTTTGCCATCATAATGAGTATTTCAATTATTTCTTCTTTACTTTGCAGAAGCATAACTAAAACGCTAAAAGTACCGGCAAATAAGTATCGAAAATCAAGCAAGCCCTCATTTTTATTACCACAACAAGCTGATTAACTAAAAATAAAAATCGAAAAAAAAAGAAAAAAGACACACATAAATAACCAACAAAAGTGATTAAATTTTTATTTTGATTTTTTTTTTAATTTTGGAGTTGTTACCTTTTCTTATTTATAACAAAAACCAATTTAGTATTCTGATTTTACATTTCCAATTCCAATTGTTACGAAACGTGTGAAATGCAAAAATAATAATGACGGCCTTTAGATTGAACGAAGTGAAAGCAGACGTATTTCACGTACCGCAAACGTACTCATTGGCCTACAGTTGTAATGCTGATTTTTATGCAGAAAAAGGTAAATTGGCATGGAAGTTTGGCGTCATATTTGGCCAACACGATGAATTGAGCCGCCAATATATCTGTAGCGGGGAAGTGGCAGTTTTGGAAGATAATGCCCGTTTCATTTATTCTTTGGTTACCAAAGATACCATGTACCATAAGAGTTCGTATGAGAATGTTGAATCGGCTTTAATATGTATGAGACATCATATGGTAAGTGTAATTTATTCTATGAGATTATTTTGTTTCTTCGTTATTTTGATGAAAATCTTATAATATTTACATACATAATTTATGTAAATTAATACTAATATAAGAGGCCTTGAACAAACATTTTTAATCTAATTGAGTTTTTATTTGTTTTAATTTTGTATTGTTAAAATACAATTCCCATCTCTTAAGTAGTTATTAAAAAAAATAATAAGCCGGTAACATAAATTAGATTTTTTATCTGTTTTATTTTGTTTTAATTTAGCAAATAAATAATAGTTGCAATTGTGTTAATAAAATTACAATTTTCTGACAAGCTTAGGAAAAAAGGGCGGTTTACTGACGACTGTTTTGAATATTAATATTGATTGTTGTCATTTCTTTTTGCTACTTATTAATTTGTTTGGTGTTTTTGTTAAAATTTCGTCATAATGAAATCATTGAACCGACCTCATTAGCTTAATATTCAAGTTGTAAAAATCGAACAAGTAAATTTACTAGATCAATTTGTAGTTTATTAAAATTCTATGGGAAATTTAAGCAAATTTAAAACGTATTTAGTGAGAAAGTAGTGTGGGGCAAGTTCGTCCCTATGATACCCTACACCGATGTTACATTTTTTGAATAATTAAAAAACCAATCAATTCAACATCGTCAGTATTTTAGTTCTAAAAACTTATACGGTTTCTAGGTCAAATAAAAAAATCTATATTCGTAAAACAGACTAAAGACTAGACTATAGACTAGACCATAGACTAGACTATAGACTAGACTATAGACTAGACTATAGACTAGACTATAGACTAGACTATAGACTAGACTATAGACTAGACTATAGACTAGACTATAGACTAGACTATAGACTAGACTATAGACTAGACTATAGACTAGACTATAGACTAGACTATAGACTAGACTATAGACTAGACTATAGACTAGACTATAGACTAGACTAGACTATAGACTAGACTATAGACTAGACTAGACTATAGACTAGACTATAGACTAGACTATAGACTAGACTATAGACTAGACTATAGACTAGACTATAGATTAGACTACAGACTAGATTATAGACTAGACTATAGACTAGACTATCGACTAGACTATAGACTAGACTATAGACTAGACTATAGACTAAACTACAGATTATACTATAGACTAGACTATAGACTAGACTACAGACTATACTATAGACTAGACTATAGACTAGACTATATACTAGACTATAGACTATAGGCTAGAATATAGACTAGACTATAGATTAGACTATAGACTAGACTATAGACTAAACTAGACTATAGACTAGATTATAGACTATACTATAGACTTTACTTTAGACTATAGACTAGGCTATAGACTAGACTATAGACGAGACTTTAGACCATACTATAGACTAGACTATAGACTAGACTATAGACTAGACTATAGAATAGACTATAGAATAGACTATAGACTATACTATAGACTCGACTATAGACTAGACCATAGAATAGACTATAGACTAGGCTTTATACTATACTATAGACTCGACTATAGATTGTACTATAGACTCGACTATAGACTAGACTATAGACTAGATTATAGAATAGACTATAAATAGACTATAGACTAGACTATAGAGTAGACTATAGACTAGACTTTAGAATAGACTAAACTATAGACTAGAGTATAGACTAGACTATAGACTAGACTATAGACTAGACTAGACTAGACTATAGACTAGACTATAGACTAGACTATAGACTAGACTATAGACTAGACTATAGACTAGACTATAGACTAGACTATAGACTAGACTATAGACTAGACTATAGACTAGACTATAGACTAGACTATAGACTAGACTATAGACTAGACTATAGACTAGACTATAGACTAGACTATAGACTAGACTATAGACTAGACTATAGACTAGACTATAGACTAGACTAGACTAGACTATAGACTAGACTATAGACTAGACTATAGACTAGACTATAGACTAGACTATAGACTAGACTATAGACTAGACTATAGACTAGACTATAGACTAGACTATAGACTAGACTATAGACTAGACTATAGACTAGACTATAGACTAGACTATAGACTAGACTATAGACTAGACTATAGACTAGACTATAGACTAGACTATAGACTAGACTATAGACTAGACTATAGACTAGACTATAGACTAGACTATAGACTAGACTATAGACTAGACTATAGACTAGACTATAGACTAGACTATAGACTAGACTATAGACTAGACTATGGACTAGACTATAGACTAGACTATAGACTAGACTATATACTAGACTATAGACCAGACTATAGACTAGACTATAGACTAGACTATAGACTAGACTATAGACTAGACTATTGACTAGACTATAGGCTAGACTATAGGCTGGACCATAGACTAGACTATAGACTAGACTATAGACTAGACTATAGACTAGACTATAGACTAGACTATAGACTAGACTATATACTAGACTATAGACTAGACTATAGATTAGACTATAGACTAGACTATAGGCTAGACCATAGACTAGACTATAGACTAGACTACATACTATACTATAGACTAGACTATAGACCAGTTGCCAATTTTCAGGTGATCTAATCATATCTTTCGCTTGTTTTATTTACGAACCTAGGTAGATCGAATCTTAAACTGATATAGAATTGAGCAAAGCCGCTCAAATATAAAACAAACTAAATGCTATAGGGCCTAAACGAAAGGGATCAAATCGTCGTACATGGATACGACTTATCAAATACTTGATAACATTTTAAAAAAAGTCGAAACCATGAGACATATTTATATTTTTCTAAAGTATGAAAACACCATGTTTTTGGCCATAAAGGCAGCTTTATGTCTAAAAGCTGTTATGTCATCTGAAAGTACAATATGCTCAAATCAGTAAAAAAGCATACTTTAGTCTCTGGGTTTCAAAATGTTTGACCTATGTAATCTTTTTTTTTTTTTATTCTTCCAGAAAAATCATAATGCCCACAAGGTTGCCATGCCCCGCATTTGCAGTGGCAGCGATGGCTTAAAATGGTCACGTATTCGAGAAATAATTTTGCGAGTATTTGCCAATGAATATAATACAGAAATTATGATTTGTAATTATCAACCACCAAAGGTAAGATGGGATTATTTTCAAAATTTCCTATTCAATTCCCTATTCAATATTAACTTTATTTCCCTCCCTTCAGATTGTAGATCCCAAGTGCCGTATATTGGAACAAAGAGGTCATAATATCACAGCTCCGGAAAATTGTGCATTGGTACATTCGATTAGTGCAGACTTTGCCATGTGCAGTAGTATAGGCATGCAATTCAATTGTAAATATGGACCCTCAAATGAGACATTGAAACAATATAAACACACCGGAAATGTGGCGGTGTTAAAAGAACAAAAACGTTATGTCTATAATTTAGTGACCAAAGAACGTAATCATGAGAGAAGTACTTATATAGCATTGTTTTATGCTTTAACTGCTACAAGAGATCATATGGTGGGTATTTGCAAATTATATAGGGAGATATATGGAATTTGATTAATGTTTTTGTTTTTATTATTTTATTTTAGCGCCAACATGGTGTTAAAAAATTAGCTATACCACGCTTGGGTTGTGGCATTGATCGTCTCGATTGGCTGCGTGTTAAGAATATTTTGGAAATGGTATTTGCGGAAGATGAGGTGGATATAACCACATACTCACATGATCCCCTGTTATCAATGCCCAGTCGTGAGCAATTGCATGTTCATTGTACAACATGCAAGCGGGCTTTCTGACATAAAAGTAAGAATTCTACGGTAAAGAATTCTAACAAAAAGACAATTAACAATAGTAACAGAGGAAAGAAATAAAATGAAATGATATTAATATTTATAAAGTTTTAAGTTTTCCTACACCATTTCCCAAAGGGAAAACGATTTTTTAACTTTTAAGAAATTTTAAACGAAATAATGTTGATAAAATTTTTACAAAGTTTGCTATTTAAAAAATAATTTTACTTTACTTAAATTTATATTGGAAATGGTGTTTAATTAAATCCCAAAATAATTGAGTTTAATTTCACCGGTAGAAAAATATTCAACAAATGCTATTTATTCTATTGTTTAAAAGACAAAAAAAATCTCTTTTGTTTTTTAAATTATTTTATTATAATATTATTATTAAAAAATGTTTTTTGTTCATGGTCAGTGTATATTGTATATATTTTTTTTAAATAATTATAAATATTACGTTTCCACAAAAAAAAATTTTTTATATAAAAATGATGTCACTTTATTTGTACAATATTTATTATATTTATTTATACTTTTTTTGCACCTGTAACAATTAACTAAATAAAATAATAAAATTATAGTTATTTAAACAAAAGTAATGGAAATTTGTTTGGTGTTATTTTTTTTGTTTTTAGTGGCTCAATGTTTTTATTAAGTGTAAAGTAAAATGTTTAAACAAAAAGCATTTCATAGTGAACAATGTTGACATTATTTATTAAAAAACAAATAAACAATTACTATGAGATTTTAGCTTTTAAAACTTAATACTAAAAGCCTTAGGAATAAACATTGTGGAAAAGTTTTTGTAACTATTTAAAAATAACAAAACAATCTGTGTAATGAAATAATTGTTTTATTATTCAAAAATTTAAAAAAAAGTCCCTGAATTAGTTTTGACGGTAAATGAGGTATAACAAGGTTATTTTATACTAGCTAACCTTGGGTGCTTCGATACCCTTATCGAAGTTAAATTAAACTGTAATATGGAGTACAACTGTATAAAGGGATTCACCCCGGACTTGTGATTGCCCAGGAAAAGAGGTGCTACCAGTACCTCTAGTCTGCCGGGACTATTAACTGGTGATGATCAAATGTATTCTAGGACTTTCATTGGAATTATTTATTTGACATGGGGTCGAACCAGAGAACCAAAAAATCTGGTAACAAGTTTTGGACTTTGTCTTGTCCCGGTTATTAGAGAAGTACCATTGGGGTTCAAGTGGTGGCAATAATGTCTAAGTGCTTAACGTGAACACTTGCCTTAATGGCCTTAATTCACGGTGGTCTTTTTCATCCATTCGGTAGACTTGGGAACGGTCTACCACGCTCCCCTGAATCCTTCTATTAAGAACTCAAGTGGCAATTTTTGTACATGAGGTCGAATCAGAGAACCACAAAATCAGGTAACAAGTTTTGAACTTTGTCTTGTCGCTGTTATTAGAGAAGTACCATCGGGGTGCACGTAGTGTCAAGAATGTCTAAGTGCTTAACGTGAACACTTGCCTTAACGGCCTCATTTCACGGTGGTCTTTTTCATCCACAGGATAGACTTGAGAACAGTCTATCACGCGCCCCTGAATCCTCCTATGAAGAACTCAGGTGGTAAATTTTGTACAAGGCTACGCCGGTCCATGTACAAGCACTTTTCTGAAGTACTCGAGCTATCTAATCTCTTGCCATAGTAACCCCGTTGCGGAATGGCAGGACGCATGGGATCAATCCCAATGCATAGCACGACAAGAAGGAGAGACAACCCTAACATCAGGTGAAATTAATCTTCCGGTATACCAAAAGGTGACCACCCTTTATATGGCATGAAAGATTGCTTTAGTTAAAATGCAATTCCCATCAACTAATGACCCATTCCAGTGCTTTCCTTAGTCTTTTAAAGCCTGCTCAACCATACTACTGAGATGGTAGTGTTGATTCGGCAACATCACCTGGAAACGTATTTGGTACACCAAAATACCCAGCCAATAAATCAGGAACCCTCTGTCAGATAATGTATCAAAAGATGTAGGAATCTCCAAAGTCAATTCAAACCCAATAATTTCCCCTACAAGTTAAGTGGCAGGTCTCAACCATAAGTCGCGTAGCATGCAACAATATGCATCCTGTTGAGATGGCAACAGCACCGAGAATTTCCCTGAACTAAAAGGTCTACTAAATCAGTACTAGCCTCCTGTCGGGCAGAGGAGTCTTTCCCGATCGTTCACCAACTACATCAGTTCCATTCTTAGACCATTAAGAACGATATACGGAATGACAAGTAACTACCAAGTATCAACCTGAGAATTCCCCAACCTATACTGATGCCCTACTACGCGAAGAGTAAGTATGGGTTCAGAAATCCAGCTTAGGTTGCTCTGTCACATCACCCAATGACATCTGTTGAGATGGCGACAGCAACGGAGAGAGAATTCAGACATATGTATGTATATGGCATTGGATATATCTGGCATAATGGATCAGACGGCATACATATGTCTCAAAAAGGTTCTAAAATGGAATTTTATCAGACTTTAGGACATAAAATCTCAGCTGTGATGGAGAAATTCTGATATAGACGACTAAGAGTAATTGAAACACTGGATTTGGCCAGATTATCTGAATGTCTTGAAAAAGTAGATATGTATTTCATATGTTAAACCTTTATTTTAAAGAAGTTGCAGCAAATAGTGACCGCCTTTGCCTCAAGGCTTTTACTTTAAGTTTTAGAAATGTATTGTGGAAAAATTTTGCGCAATAGGACCACGTTAATTGGTGGCACCTATTTTTACGAATTTTTTTATTTTTTTTTTATTTTAACAACAAGTAATTGGAATATCTACGCTATTACTGTTCCAATATATAACACAAAAATCGTAAAAGTTATATCAAATGAAGTGTCACAAACAATAAAACCATGTCTTAAATGAGATTCTTAAAAAGCCTGTTTCTCGAGACACTCTTGTGTATATATGTAAATATATGTATATGCATGTATGTATGTATAAATGCTATAAGAAAAAAAACCGCAACCAATTACTATAATTGAGTCTGAAACTATTCTTAGAAACAAGAGCTGACAACAAATAAATTTTTAAAAGGTTTGAATAATTGAAATGCTATAAAGTAAATAGATCTTTAGTTAAATTATTTCTCTCAACATGTTACGTTTAATTATTCTTACTTTCTGTTTAGTTCTTCCCGACTTGGCTTATTCGAGAAGAGCATCGCGAGAGGCTTGTGAAGATCTAAGTCCTGGATATAATGAAAAACCTTAAAACACTAAAACGCCCTATAAGTTTTATGGAAAAAACTCCATCAAATCGGGTGAAAAAATAACCCTCAGCTTGAGTGGAGATACATTTTTAGGTTTTATTATACAAGCTCGAAATGCTCGAAAAAAACCTATTGGTAGATTTAAAGTTGTTGAAAGTAAAAAATCAAGAGCTTTAGAATGTTACGCTAATGAAGTGAGTTGATAACAATAATTTGTTGATGTTCTTTTTATAATAATTAATTTTTTCATTTAGGACACTTTGATTAATGTTAAATTGCACAGGAAACCTATTAATGGTGTTCAATTTGAATGGTTATCTCCTATCGATTACAAGGGTACCGTCAAGTTTGTCGCCACTGTTTTTAAGGATCGTCATACATTTTGGGTACGCAAGGTAACCAAAAAGGTTACTGTAGAATAGGTTTTAGAAATAACACTACTTTGGAATGAATGGCTTTTTTTTAAATTTATGTTTTTTTTTGTTATTCACTGTACTGTGTTTAAATTATACCTACTTTGAAATGATTTCAAAGTTCCAGGTTTTCTTACTTCAGTCGAAAAAAGGAACCAGGCAAAAAGCAAGAATTATTCGCTTTTCGCTACCCACGTAACTAGTTTGTTTTAGTCAAGTTTCATTAACTGTATGTGTAAATTTAATTTTATTTCTTGAAATATTGTTTAATTAACACATCTAAATTTAAATGTCAACAAATTTATTTAATTGAGTACAATATCAAAATACTTTTAATTAAACTTAACTTCAAAACGAAAAGAAAGACTGGTTCTCGATTCCCTCAAGTAATTTCAATGAAATATGAATTCATTAATTTTCTAAAAATATGAAACTTCTATAAGAAGTGTGTTAAGAAAAAAGGGTTCAACAAATTAGCATTTTCTTATGAAATATGACAATTTAAAACAAGAAAATCATATACAATTTTAAGCTTTCATGAAAAATATCCCCCAAATGAAATGTCACCAATATTTTAATAGAAGAGTAGTAGAGCGGAGCAGTAAATTTCTAAAAAGGCGCGTGCAATAACAACGTATTAGCGTCTTAGCAAGTGTTAAGATAATTTCCGTTTCCTTTGTGCTGTTGTTTTGTTTTTTCTTGCGACACTAACACAAAAAAGGGTTAATCCTTAATAGGACATATAAAAACGGTATAAAAACTAATGTTCTGCAACAATAAACAAGAATTAAGAGTACAAATAGAGATGATATTAAAGAAGTAGTAAAGTGGTGATTTTCGGCATATGCGAATAACAACAGGCTACAATTTTAAGAAATGATTTGCGGCTAAACTTGACTATACTATAGACTAGACTATACTATAGACTAGACTATAGACTAGACTATAGACAAGACTATAGACTAGACTATAGACTAGACTATAGACTAGACTATAGACTAGACTATAGACTAGACTATATACTATATAGACTACACTATAGACTAGATTATAGACTAGACTATAGACTAGACTATAGACTAGACTATAGACTAGACTATTGACTAGACTATAGACTAGACTATTGACTAGACTATAGACTAGACTATTGACTAGACTATAGACTAGACCATAGACTAGACTAGACTATAGACTAGACTATTGACTAAACTATAGAGTAGACTATAGACTGGACTATAGACTAGCCTAGACTATAGACTAGACTATAGACTGGACTATAGACTAGACTATAGACTGGACTATAGACTAGACTATAGAGTAGACTATAGACTAGACTATAGACTAGACTATAGACTAGACTATAGACTAGACTATAGACTAGACTATAGACTAGACTATAGACTAGACTATAGACTAGACTATAGACTAGACTATAGACCAAACTATAGACTAGACTATAGACTAGACTATAGACTAGACTATAGACTAGACTATAGACTAGACTATAGACTAGACTATAGACTAGACTATAGACTAGACTATAGACCAAACTATAGACTAGACTATAGACTAGACCATAGACTCGACTATAGACTAGACTATAGACTAGACTATAGACTAGACTATAGACTAGACTATAGACTAGACTATAGACTAGACTATAGACTAGACTATAGACTAGACTATAGACTAGACTATAGACTAGGCTATAGACTAGACTATAGACTAGACTATAGACTAGATTATAGACTAGATTATAGACTAGACTATAGACTAGACTATGGACTAGACTATAGACTAGACTATAGACTAGACTATAGACTAGACTATAGACTAGACTATAGACTAGACTATAGACTAGACTATAGACTAGACTATAGACTAGACTATAAACTAGACTATAGACTAGACTATAGACTAGACT